CATGTTCGAAACAATGCTGAACCAACCTACTCAAGTAGAAGTGGAAGAAAACCTCAACACGGTTGAACAGAGATTAGACGAACCCACGTTAGAAGAAGTAGAAAGGGCAGTAAATATGTTGAAAAATAGGAAAGCACCAGGGGAAGACGCAATTGTTGCAGAACTACCGAAAGAAGGAGGAAAAGAACCAATGACACGACTGAAACGACTAGTAGATAATATATGGAAACAAGAAGAAATACCAGTAACATGGCATATGTCAGTCCTATGCCCGGTTCACAAGAAAACAGACGCTATGGTTTGCCAGAATTACAGAGGAATATCCTTACTAAATACCTGTTACAATGTAGTTTCGAACATCATACTAAACCGTATCAAGCCATACACAAGGGAAATAATAGGGGAATATCAGGCAGGTTTTATGTCAAGGAAATCTACAGTGGATCAAATTCATACAATAAAACAAATAGTAGAGAAAAGTCACGAGTTCGACATAGATGTTCACCTACTATTTGTGGATTTCAAACAGGCATATGACTCCGTAAATCGAGGTAGATTATGGAAAGCAATGACCGAACTCGCAATCCCTACAAAATTAGTGAGATTGATAAAGACATGTGTGCAAAAGTCCAAGTGTATAGTTAAGTTCAACGGAGAAATATCTGAAGATTTCTCAGTTGAAACAGATCTTAGACAAGGAGATGCATTATCCCCCACATTATTTAACATAGCCTTAGAATCGGTAGTGAGAGAAGTACTTGATGATGTCACGGGCCTAAGAATTGGAGGAGGACACCAAATCACACTAGCTGCGTATGCTGATGACATAATAATTATTGGAGAAACCGCAGAGGACCTAAAACGGTCGGCATAAAAACTAATAAGTAAGGGAAAAGAGATTGGACTACAAGTTAATGAAGGAAAAACGAAATACTTAATAGTATCACGTAGAGAACAAGTACAAAATTCGTTAGTAGTCGGTGGATGTACCTTCGAAAGGGTAACAAACTTTAAATACCTGGGAGTAGATGTTAACCAACAAGCAAACAGCCATGATGAGATTAAAAGGAGAATAACTGCAGGAAATAAGAGCTATTTTGCGCTAGTACCTATATTTAAATCAAGATTAATCTCCAAAAATACAAAAATAAGACTATATAAAGTACTCATTAGACCTATAGTATTGTATGCTTGTGGAGCATGGGCAACAACAAAGTCGGACGAGAAAAGATTACTACTATTTGAAAGGAAAATACTACGGAGAATTTATGGACCCAAAAGAAACGAGGAAAATTTATATGAACGAAGAACTAATGCAGAACTAAGGGCAATGTTCAACGAGCCAAACATAGTGGGAATACTTACATGATGTCACAATGTGGAAATCAAATAAGAAAGGGAGGCCAAGACAGCGATGGACAGATCGAGTTAAAGAAGACGTCAAGCTCCTGGGGATTAGAGAGGGAGAACAACTGGTGAAGAACAGAGAATTATAAAATCACCTTTATTTCATTAGATATCGCAATGGGTAAATCCTCAAGCTAAAACCTGAATAATATTATAATAAACCCCATTATATTGAATGGAATATAATGATCACTATTTCATTAAAATAACACTAATTCTCTGAATTTGAATTGTAATTATTTTGTTCATATATAGGATTCTTCATTAATATTAAAATGTGATTTCTGATAATATTTAATAAGAATGAGCAATATACTCACCTGCTTTACGTTCTTCAGCCGTAAGTGCAATTGTATTCCCAATAATATAAAATATAATACATATAGTTAACATTATAATATGTTTAAGCATTCTTGAAATTACGAACAAAAAATTGGAAATAATGACGACGTTGAATGATGTAAAGTTAAAGTAATATTAAACGTAGTTCAACGACGATATTCATCGTATTCTGCAAAAAAGAAACGAAACAGGTGGGTTCAGTGCAACTAAATAAACCTTATGAGATATTGGTAAAGTAGGTAAATAATTTTTTGTTCTTTAAAAATACATTTATTAATATATGTAATATATTATGACTATATGTTATGATACATATATTAATAAATGTACTATATTGCTGTACATTACAATTTACAATACATGCATTACATTAAAATACTATAATAGTTATGATTCTACTATTTTGGTAACCCTTGTCACTGACACCTAAATATACAACAAGATTCAAATCGCTTAGTTATGTCTCTTGGGTGCTGACAATTCAATTTATATCGTAATTTCGTGTACTTACGTCATGTTAGACATAAAACCAAAATCATCAAAAAGATTTTAAATTTATCTATCACCTGTTCAAGTAAAATAGAATTATCATTTTATTATCACGAAATTTGTATTTTTGTATTTATTCTGCTTGGTTATTTTATATTCATGTACCTCTCTCTATCTCTATCTCCCTGTGTCTCTGCCCCACTCATTTGTCATATCCACGAAGAAAAAAGCTATGTTTTTCGAAGTCACCCTTCGGCCACTTATTATTGCATACGCACTGTACCCATATACAACATATAGACTTTTTCTGCATATTATTAGACAATTTTGTGAACCACTAGGCAGACGAATTAATTAATATTGACATTGCAATATACTCGCTTTGAACATATTTTTTACCACACATTTCTTTCTGTCCGACCGCATTTCTCGCGGCTTGTGTTTTCGGCAGTCGTAATAGGACCGCATTGGCTTAGATCACTCCAATCACTTGTAGCTATATAATCATGAAACACGAGTACACACTGTATGCATTATAATATTATAATATGTGAGTGCACTACCGCGGAACAATAATAATTATAAGTTATGTCGAATGGGAATAATGTTAGGAGTGTATATTCTGCAGACGTCCTACGTAGTTTTCTAGACGAATTTTCTGCAAGCATTTAAAGTTCAAATTTAACAAATTATTATCAAACACTTATCAAAAACCCACGGTAAAATTTTTCATTAATCAACCAATTGATTCCACTGTGCAATGAACAATAAGAAATTATAAATTAACTGTTTTATATCATAGAAAGAAGATAGATGGATCAGTTTTAAATGAAAAGCTATGAGCGTGGTGCCTCGAATGAGGAAAAAAGGGATTTATTTATATATGCGTAGATAGATTGTATAATTTTACTTCTCGGAACAATTCATATCTACACGCCGTTCATACACATTGTTCGACGGACAAAAAATTATGGTGGCATGCGCTATGGAAACCTACAGGTCACAGTTCTGTAAAATATGTATTGTATATAGATACACAATTTGTACAAACAATTTTTTTTGACGATTTCAAGCCTTTAAAAATAAAATTTTGAAAAATCCTTTTTTGGTTTAATTAATTACCATTTTGTTGGTCCAGCAATTCCAATTTTGTGTTGTTAGCTAAATTAATATTATCAAATTGTAAATTATGAAACTTAAATGTAGAGCATTATAATAAGTATTGACTCGTTGACTTTTTATTATCTTTTAATTTTTAAGTGAGTTATGAAAACTTTAAACTATAATAATATTACATACTCATTACTCAAGTAAGATGTAAATATCGTAAAAACTCAACGAGTCAAAACGGTAAATGTACATACACTTAAGTTTGATAATAGCGTAGTTCACTTGCACACACGTATATTATCAAATGCTAAATGTTGATATATTAGGCATTTATATGAAATAGAAGACACATACGGGTACGACATCCTCTTATAAGTAGACGGTAATTAATTGACATGCTGCAAAATAGTACAAATTGCAAATGTACAGTAGAAAAGTGATTACATTAAGCGACAATCGAAGTAATTATATGAGCAATGTATTGTGTAGGTCAAAACAGGTGGATACCGTGCAACTGAGTATTCCACACGAGGAAATAGAAGTACGAAAATAATGTTTTTTTTTTCTTTAAAAATACATATATAGTATACTATAATAAATTTGATTCTTGTATATTTGTAATCGTTGTCACTGACACCTAAATACACAAGAACAGTACACTGAGTTAGTCATGACTCTAATAGGTGTGCCCATTTCAATATATAACGTAATTGCATATTATGCTTAAGTCATTGTAAAATTATAACAAAAATCATCAAATCTCAATGATTATTATTCTGTGAATAGATTAATAAGTCTATGGTAATATAGACTTGATTATAAGAAAATATAGGAAAACCTATCAAAAAATAATAAATAGTTCAAAAAAAGCCAAAGGCAATATGTATATTTTAAACTTTTCTTTTTTACAGTGTTTCATACTATTTCCAATACAAACACAATAACTTAAGACANTATACGCTGTGTTGCGATTAATATATTATGTCTGGCGCACGGCGTCTGTTTATTATATCATAATTTGTATTTTGTATTATTGATATTTTCACACCGTGAGGTACAGGGGCGTATTTATGGGGGGGCTGAGGGGGCTTCAGCCCCCCCGAAATCCAGGAATTGTTTATTAAGTCTACTTATTAATTATTATGTCCTATTAGATGTAAAATCGTAAAAGTTCAATATAATTTTATAAAGAATTATTATTAACAACGATGAACGAACAATTTATTCATATAATGTGTCAATGACTATTTTGATCGTAACGATTATACATTTGAGTTCGGTACATAATGCTTAATTTTGACATGCGGTACTGCTGCATTATCGTTATTTCGATTTCTTTTATCTAAAATTGATTTACTGATATACACGCGTTGTCACGTCTTGATCACCGCACAATAATCATACGAGCATTACGAGCCCGTATGAGCTAAAAATATTTCCGAGAAGTTGCGACGACGACGGCCGATAACGCTGTTATATAGTCGCTATTGTAGATAAATATTTTGTTGTCTGATATATACGACGTTTAGGCGTTTAGTATCCGAGTATCGCACGTAGTACGTTTAGTACGTACCTACTAACTATTAATACAGTGGATTGTGACGAGTGTTTTTATTTGTTGGTTAAATAAAATAATAATACACCTAAGCATAATGAAAAGAACTCAAGCTCAACAATCATTATTGCATTTTTATAAAAAATCTAAACAGTCCACCGAATCCGTCGATGATACAGTTCTATCTACATCGAATGTTTTACAAGATGATGACATTATGGCAACACTTGAAACAGAAAAAACAGCTCCAAGTCCACCAGTTATTTCTCCGGTAATTGAATCTAGTTTAAAATGTTTAGATTCTAAGTTTGATATAGGAGGTTATGTTGAATGTAAGAATAATTTAAGTGACGAAGAGAAAGTTTCAATTTTGCAAAACGTATGGACACCCGATTTAAATTTTAATTTCCCATATGATAATAGTGGAAAATATAAACGTAAATTTCAAATTAAATGGCTTTAAACTTTCAAATGGTTAGCATATTCAAAATTAAGAGAGGGATTGTTTTGTAAATTCTGTGTATTGTTCTTAAATTTAAATCAGGCTGGTAAGGGATCTCATGAGAAGTTAGGTAAACTTGTTTTAAAACCCTTGACAAAGCTAAAAGACGCATTGGAAGACTTTAGAAATCACGAAAAAAATGATTACCATAAAAATTCGTTACTTACAGCTGACAACATAAAAGCAATTTTAGAAAAAAAACAAGATAATATATTAGTACAATTAAATAGTAAACGAAAAGATGAAGTTATAAAAAATCGCGCAAAACTTAAACCAATTATTCAAACAATTCGGTTATGTGGTAGACAGCAAATAGCATTACGGGGGCACGAGGATTCTGGTAGAATTTCTTTAGAAGAACCAAAAAATAACGATGGTAATTTCCGTTGTTTGCTTCGATATCGCTCGAAAAATGGTGACAACGTGTTAAAAGAACATTTGGAAACTAGTGGTTGTAAATCTATGTATACAAGTCCACTTATACAAAACGAAATAATACATTTGTTTGGTGATTTAATTCAGTCAAAAATTCTTGAAAGAGTTTCAAAAACTAATTTTTATACAATACTTGCAGACGAAACAACTGATATTTCACAAATTGAACAGTTCTCATTATGTATTCGTTATGTTGACGAGCAGGTTTTTTCAATTCGAGAAGATTTTCTTACATTCGTTCCGGTATATGATATATCTGGTGAAGGTTTGGCTAACACGATTAAAGAAACATTAAAAAAAATTGGTTTTGATTTGAATAAAATGCGAGGTCAGGGTTACGATGGGGCTGCAGCAATGCGTGGTCGTTTTAGAGGTGTTCAAGCAATTATTAAAGATATGTACCCAAAAGCATTATACACACATTGTGTATCACACTCACTAAATCTTTGTTTATCGGATGCTACAAAATCTCAAGATATTCGAAATGCTTTTGGTATAATAAGTGAATGCTGTTCTTTTTTTAACAGTTCGGCAAATCGAACTACCGTCCTCAAAAATAAAATAAAAGAAATTAAACCAAATTCACAATCTACAAAATTGAAATCTTTATGTGAAACTCGCTTGGTGTTACGCCATGAAGCAGTTATGCTTTTTAAAGAATTTGTAGAACCCGTTGTAGCTGCATTAGAAGAAGTGCAAAATTAATGTTCTGGGACCGATTCTTCAAAAAGAGCTAATAGCCTTTTACATTGTATTTGCAACTTTAATTTTTTAATATCTATTTGTGTGTCTAGTAAATTATTAAATTAAATTCTTTATATTCTTTACTAAATAATTAAACTTATAATTTATCGAAATATTTACAAAGTAAAAATATTGATTTATTTAATGCTCTTAATCAAGTTTCCGATGTAATTTCTGTGTTTCAATCCATAAGAGAAAACGTTGATTTAAAATTTAACAATATTTATAAAGAAGCCAAAGATATTGCTGAAAAGTTAAATATTGAACCAAAAATGCCTCGTATTTGTAGCAGTCAAAGAAATAGAAGCAATGTACCATCTAACAACATTGAAGAATATTACAAAAAATCTATTTTTATACCGTACTTGGACGATTTGATGATGGCATTAAATGAACGATTTATACCTCACAATGAAACTATAACTTCATTACAATATGTCTTACCAAGTATTGTAGTTGAAAAACCATTTTCTTATTTAAAAAAAGCTGTTGAATTTTATGAAAATGATTTACCGGGGCTAAATGACGTTATAGAAGCAGAGTACGAAATTTGGCAAGCTAAGTGGAAGAATATTGAAGACAACTTAAGGCCCACAACTGCTATAGAGGCTTTGAGTGTCTGTGATAATTTAATGTATCCAAACATGTATGAATTAATAAAAATACTAGCTATAATACCAGTATCAACCGCTACAGCTGAGCGCAGCTTTTCGACGTTGAGAAGACTCAAAACGTATTTAAGAAATACAACTTCAGAATCCAGACTAGTGGGACTTGCCCTTTTAGCTATTCATAGAGACATTGACATACCAGATGAAATTTTATTAGATAAATTTGCTAACAGTGGCAAAGAAAGAAATTTAAATTTGATTTGATTTGTTATATGAATATCGTATTATTATTATTATTATATATTATTTCATTATTAATTTTTTGAAAACATTAAAAATCATGACAAAAATTAAAATTGTGTACTAATTTTCTAACTCTTATTTTTAATAGGCTGAATTGGGGAATTTCAGTTGCAGAAAATACCACAGCCCCCCCCCCCCCAAAAAAAAATATATCTAAATACGCCCCTGATTTCGGGACACACTGAAACGATGAATCGTATGTTTCAACGTAAAACGGTTTGTCGGGGAAACAGTTTTATCTACTGAAGGAAAATCCGAAAACTCGAAGGATTTTTAGTCGCACGAGCTGCTATAGAATTCAGCATAATTCATAGTACGTAATAAGTACACAATTGGAATATATTCTATTTTTGCAGTTTGTATTTCACTTGCATTTGTTTTCCTTGCTATCGACCCAAAATTATTACAGTTATAGTTATTAATCAGTCAGCCAGAATTTACAATAAGGTTTTTTTACGTATTCCAATCGGTTTGGTTCTTTGAAGCATACATAACACTCGTTTAAAAATGTTTTCATTTTACTGTAAACAAAAATCGATTTCTACAGAATTTATATCTTTATCATTATAAAGTATATGTACCTATCAACTGTAAAAATAAAATAGAATTGTCATGTTTTGAAAACGGTGCAAAAATATTTTATATAAAATATGTGATTCGAGCAAAAGGAACAACACATTTCCTCATGCAAACAAATACTTAAAAAATGCATTTAAGTCGTCGGAAAAATTAGAGGTATGCTCAAAGCCACAAATATGATCATACGTCCATTATCATTTATATACATTATCATATGTTATTATAATTTTATGTATGGCTATTTCACATTTATTTCTCTATCTCTTACTGTGTCTCTACCTTTCTTTTTTTACTATTCACGAACAAAAAAGCTTTGTTTATATATAAATTTGAATCATCTATCCGGACCGGATGTACAAAATAATGTTTGTGTCATATGTTGCGAATAATTGTTCAGTTCCTGTCAGATATATACCATTAATGAAGTGCCCACTCGTCCTAAAATTGCCGGTGGTCTATAAGTCAAAAGTTAGAAGACAAGACGCCTTTTTAAAAATTTTTGTACACATTTTAATACTAAATCCAAAATAAACATAATTAATCAATTCAATTATGTTTACTTTTTATTTATTCTATTGATTATAGTTATCATTTCACAAGTTAAAAAGTAAAGTTACTCTGAACTTTCTAAACTTCTAAGTTAAAGAGTTAAATTGTATGCCCTTTTCAATTATTCAGTACCTTACAAATTAATTTATTTTATTATGACGTTAATTTATTTTTATTGCTAAACTATGGATTAAAAATTAAAATGAAAATAATAATAATCTGAAGTATACAATGTAATAATGAAAAAATAATAACAATTTTTTTTTTTGATAAAGAAAAAAAACACGGATGCGTGATCATAATTAGGTCTTACATAATATGATACTCAAATAGTTTAAATCAAATTGTACATTCAATATCTGTTATGAATAGAAATATATTTTTGATGGATTCTTCTTCAGGGGGGCTCAGTGACTCATGAAGGTGTTCAGGTACATTGTATTATTGCCTTGCCTCTTGTTTGTCTGTACAGGCGGTAATGATGTAATTGTTTAGGTTCGATATCACCATGTAAGACATTTTGTTTTGGATCTTTTTTCATCTGATGGTCACATGTTTATGGTGTATAATCTATTCTGAGGCGATTCAATACGTTTTCGTCTTTTCATTTGGGAAACAACATAATTACTTATAAGAATAGTTATTCATAATTGTATAATTGTAGTGTATTGGAAGCTCAATGATTTTTACGGTTCCGATTCCGGTTCGGTTCCTAGAAAATCTAAAATTTCGGTTCCGGTTCCTTTTCGGTTCCTAGAAAATCTAAAATTTCGGTTTCCGTTCCTTTTCGGTTTTTAAATTTAGATTTCGGTTCTTTTCGGTTCTTATAAAATTAAAATTCGTTTTCAGTTTAGGTTTTATAAAAAAAAATTTGATTCAATTTCGATTCTTTAAAAAATATTAGTATTTTCAAATTTTCAAGTAAATGCTCAACATTGTTGACGAAAGTATACGACCCATTATGATGTGGAATACAAAGTTTAAAATATCGAAGCTAGACCAAACGGCTATAGGCCCTAGAGTACTACTAGTACTAGACAGTAGACACTATAATGAGTATAAAGAACAGTAACAAATCACAATACTAGCAAAGAAAGACAGAAAGAAAAGCATTTAGGCATGCTGTAGGTAAGCGTTAGGATAACTATACTATAATAATACAATATAAGCGTTATAGACATCATAACATTCGTTGTTATTTATTAACATATTTTATGAATTTCTTATTATTTTGGTAACAGGGAGACCAATAAGTGTATATTGTGCAGTAAATAACGAATTTTATTTTTGCTGGAGATTCCTATTAATACATTATCAGTTATTACGTAGAATAATAATACTTTAGTCTTAGTGACACGTCTCAGACGATCGAACTCTGTACTCTGTAGGTAATTGAATGATTATTCTTGAATATTATAAATCCTCATAATAATGACTATAATGATGACAAATAAAAATAAATATAATATAATTATTACAAAACCCAAATTAATCGTAAGAAACCTTTACAAAAGAATATTTATTTCGGCAAAGTTACGGTTTTTAAATTAATTTAAATAAGGGTTCCGGTGGGGTTCCTGTTTTCATATTAATTTAAATTAGGGTTTCAGTGAGGTTCCGGTTCCCAAAATTCAAAGAGTTCCGGTTCCAAAACCGGTTCTTTTCGGTACGGTTCCAGTCCCTGAATTGTACATTCACAAAATATAGTATATAACTGTATTACATACAGAAATGTTATAGAGGCATCCTCTTAATTAATGAAAGAAAAATGTAACATTCACCTTTATTCTTTGATACACTTTTGTACACCATTAGCCGTTACTTGATCATTTTAATTATTATTTTTATTAGTTATTACTTACATAATTATTATATTTCTATTCCTTCATGGAATTACATTGATAACCTTTCCCATCGGTGCAAATAATGCAAACCAGTAGGAATATAGGCCTTCGATTTTACTATTTACGTAGGTAATTAAATAAATGAACAAATTATTCAACAAAACTGAGGGAAACGAGTTAATTTTTATGTTTATATATGAAAACCGATATGTTCCGTTATGTCTCTATTGAAGACGTAAATCGGAAAGATTGCAGTGGTTTTAATCACACGAGCGGTAATAGAATTGTTTATAATGCATAATGCATCCCTAGTATACAATGGAAATTAAGTCTTGCATAATGGTAACTTTTATCTCTATCATTGACATACAAGAGGATGTTGCAATAGCTTAGTTATGTATCTGAGGAGCTCTCATTCAATATATAAAATAATTGCATTTGCTTATGTCATGAAAAATTTATACCAACAATTATGAAACCCCAATGTCTGTTGGGCGTTGTTGCAAGACCAATAATATCTAATTTGAGCTACTTCTTAAATTTATGAGCTTTTTAAAAAAAACTACAATGAATATTGTATCTGATAATATGCAGACTATGACCATATACCTTTTTAAATGTAAATGATAATTCTCGTTTTAATTAATTTGTATGCTGGCCTACTCAATTACCCTTTGAGCTTATTTATTCAACATTATGATCAATACTGCTGTCTTGTAGAGTACGTGAGCTTCATTTATACAATAATGCATAATAATATGTATTTTTCAGGGCTATTAAGTCTATACCTCGAGACATAATACAACATCGTCTAAAATATTTACTTAAAAGGATTCTCATTCAAACAAAAAAAAAAAAATTTTAAAATACACAATAATATTACATTAATCATTAATATAATTTCATTTAGATATGTAATTCTTGTACAATAATGTTATATAATAGTATTATTTTTTATTTATGTATCCCGACAATTTAATCGAATTAGTATTGAGATGGAGTTTTAAATACAAACAAAATGAATATTGATTTAATACAATTTTTTATTAATTAATTAGATATATGATATTATGGCAAAAATTAATAGTTTAATCATAAGTATCTACTTACCACTTAATATTAGATGATTGCGTAATTGGTATAGTATTTAATAATTAAAACTGCGAGCCCAATCTTGTGCAAAGAAAAACAATTAATTATTGTGATCTGTGAATTTATGAGAGCAATAAAAATAATTCTTACTTGTTTCCAATTTTATACCTTTGCTATAATGATCACAGAATTTTGAGGCCGTTTCATAATAATCTATATAAAAGTACATCAATAACAATAATTTAATTAGAAAAATGTGTTTTAATCGAATACCTACAATAACTTATAACACTGATTCGTCGACTATTCTTTTACAGGATATTGGGTATAATATTATTATAATCTATTCTACAAACTGAATTAAATTTTGTTTTGTAATAACTTTAATAATCACTTACCTAATCTACCAGGGACCAAAATATGATTGTTCACGAACTTATCAAATGGACCTAGAATTATATTTTGAATTAATAGTTCAAATATGTGTTTAACATTGGTACATTACATTACAATTGATATATTTTATATTTTCTTCATGCATTATACAAAAATAAACATGAACTATTAAGGCTTTACGATTTTGTATATGTAATTGACCACACAAATAAATAATTATATTATGAATAATTAAAAATTATAATTATAGATCACTGACAATAACTTACTTGGAAATTGTCTATTCCTAGCTCCAATATCAAACTCTAATATAAAAATATATAATATACCCTATTAAATACTGTAGCATAGACTTATAGAAGCACATATTATAAAATAGCAGATAGGGAAATAATAAAATTACAGAAAGGAGTGTGAAAGTACTGTGGTGGTTGTAATATTATTATAACGGTGTATCTATATTAATGAATTATATCATCTAGATTCTAGAAGCACAGTTTATTCTTATAGATATACATTATGAAATATGACGTAAAAATAAAACTACAGGTAACTCTAAATGTATACTTACTATATTGAACCACTTTATCGTGAAAGTTATACACGTGAATTATATCATTAACTGCAACATATACAATATTATCACTATTTTTCATAAATCTCAGTTTGTTACTGTTTTTATATTTCAATGTAATCACTTGTGTTGGAACGCAATACCGACTTACAAATACAGTAGATGCCGCTTATTAGAAACACGGATAATTGATACAATAGCGTTATTTAAAGAAAATGTACAGGGACGGACCGGATGTATACATAATATTACAACATTGAAAATAAAGCAGATTATTGAAACATCATATCGGTTATTTGAAGCAATTTGGAGGGCTGTTAACATATTCACCATTTATCCGTGCGATAACCAATGTAATTTAATCTTAACTTTGCCGTCGTTAAGTTCATATTTGGACTATACTAACTTAAGTGCAGTACGTTCTATACAATGTTTAAGAATGATCTTTCCTTTACGTATCATTAGCTCAATTCGGCGTGCGTACGTAAAAGTAATTTAAAAGTATTTTGTTATTCTAAAAATCTAAATCTAAAAATGTCTAAATTCCAAGGATTAAGTTCTAAACAGAAATAAGAGTTATTAAAATCATACGACGAGCTTAAAAAATATATACATTTGTACATCCGTACTTTTTTAAAATTATTGATACATTTTTGGCATATTTTTCGTTTTTTTTTTTTCATAGTACAAATCAAACCAATCGCTTATTAGAAACAACTGATTTGGACACAAATTTACTTTGGTCCCAAAGGTTTTCTCATAAGCGACTACTGCTATGTATAATAATATTTAGTGTGTTAATTTGGTTTGATGCAATGAAGTATGAATCTCAATTTTGAATAAGGGTTTGATATTCTAACCAAACTCAATGTATATGTGTCAAAATAACAATAGCCACCAAATGTCTCAAAAATCTGTTGATATTATTCAGGCCTGATGTAAACATGTGAACAAGATTTTAAAAAGTTGATGCAAGCCACCAATGTAACTTGTTCACAACTACACAAAATTTCGGTAAACAATTATTTCTATAAAGATCTAATGGCTCTTACCTCCATTATTTTTCCTTCTGTTACTATTAGTACTTATGATTGTTATTTTACTAAGAAATACATTAACAATACAATTTATGTTAAATTATGCCATGGTGAATTAGCTCTTCAACCAGACGCTGAGTTATAATTATATACATTGTATAAAGTTATCTTCGAAGTATTGAATAAAATAATATAATATTTATATTATACCTTTACTCGGTGATGGCCGATTATCATCGATACTTAACGTAAAATTAAAATAAAAACCTATGAATCATTTGAAGTATATACTTACAGAATTTCTTTTTTATCATTCGGTAATCATTATCAGATGCATAAGAATCTTCTACAAAAAAAAAAAATTCAATTATAAGTTAATCTCAGTTTGTTACTGTTTTTATATATTAATATCAACAACCAACTATACATACTTTGGTCGATAATAACATTATACAAATATATAATAATAAATTCTACCTATTTTATGTCGTTCAAATTACATTTCAGAATATAAACTGAAGCCCGATCGAATAATTGTAAGTATTATAAAAATATAGATATATAGCAGAACAACAGGACGGAATATGAAAAGCTTGTGGAGAATAGAATATTGTTATGATTGTGTATAATATTTTATTAATAATAATAATAATAATTGGGTTTGATGCACTGAATATCTGTATTGTATAAATCTTAGTACGTGGGAATGACGCGGCACTACGACATTATAAAATCTTTTGTTTTGGTCAAATAGCGTTAAAGCCGAAAAAAGAAGGACACGATTCATATCAAAAAGTGAATCGGCTGCATGGGGCAGAGGACGTAAAGGTTCGAATACCATCACGTCCCTTTGGTACTGTCACAAAAAGTTTGTTTCATTCAGAGATGAGTCATGGATGGGCTGAGTTAAATTGGCGAAATATTTAAAGGGCTGGGGCACGAGCCCCAAAGAGATTCATTAGTCAAGCTAAGTCGATCAAGTTGGCACTTACGTAAGTGCCAACTTTACAGAACTTCCATACTATACTTCTATATTCTATTATTTTATTGAGACTACCGAACTCTTTTGAACTTCATGCACTTCTAATTCATAAGTGTTTATGATTATGATTCTATTAAAAAATACTCATTAATACGATTATTAAAAATTGTGTTAATTTATTTCACGTATCATACCCTTTGTTATTTTAAATAACACGCACCAAAATTAATCAAATGTTAATGTGTCATAATAATTAATACCTTGGATAGTCGATATTTATGAACATACAGTAGTACATTAATATCATTAGTATATATTTTATTATATGACTAGAGCGTATTTGAGTAACTGATTATAATATATTATCTATATATATATAAGAATAGATTACATCATAAAATCTTTAAATATTACACTTTAAGTGATTTGTAATGTTTGCTAATTCTTACCGATATCGTTGCTTATAGTATCAAAATTTTCCTCATCGTTCATTTCAAAAAGTACTCTATCTATAAAAATTTAAATTTTACTACACATAAATCTCAGATTATTATTGTTTTTATATTGCAATCCAAGCAATTACACAAACTTGTGTAACGGATATACAACATACAAATAAATACTTAAGTATACATTCTAAGAGTTTCCTAGATGTTCTTTATTTAGAATAATATTAAATAGTTTTCCTCTAAAAGAAAAAAAATGTTCACTTGAAATATTAACTAAAAATATTATCATACTCATCAGGAAACGGAGACTCAAACATACCCGAGTACTGAAGATTCAAAAATCAATTACAAAATCGAGATAATACTATGAATCAATTCAGTACAAGTCAGTTTCGTTTTCTAAACTAAAACTAATAAATAGTATTAGTAACGGTGACTTAATATCAGCTATGTGGCAATAAATAAAGAAATTCATGGTAAACTAAAAGTATAATATTATACCTTTCCATATTATTCTCATAATAGCACATGAACATTTCAAAAGAGTAGATATTTAACTTAACTACTAGCAGTAATATAAAATGCTCGTAATGCTCGTAGTATTATTACAATTGTGTAGGTTATCGGTCAAGAGTTACCGTCAATTTGGCGATATTGAACTTAAAGTTAGGTTAAAGTGTCGTGAAATATAAAGATAAAAATAACTTAAATCAATGTTAATTTATTGTGAATTAGTTGAATCTCTTCTAATCATTATTACATATAAATAACACTATATTATTAATTAACTATAAATAATAAGTAGGTAATGTATATTTACAGAATCTCTCCAATAAAGCATCAAAGGTTTCTTCTGTACCATATGGTAAAGGTCCTAACACTATGAAAGATAAAAAAAATCATGGATAAATAAATTTCAGTTTGTTACTGTCTTTTTTTTATTTCAATCAAATCAAATAGACATACAATATGTGTACTTAATAACAACATACAATTTGTATAATACAAGTTCATTATAAGATTATTCATTTAGTCGAATGCAATAAAACATATCACTACATTTTCTAAAATGATTTCATTATCCAACCAAAATATTTAACTCGAATAATGTAGTGTAAAAGCACAATGGCTGCCAGATATATCAATAAGTTAAAGAAATTCAATTAGAATTCCAAATTAATTAATATTCAATATAAAAAAAAAAATGAATGTAGTTATGGATCATAAATCAATAGCCCCTATGAGTGATATAAACATAAGCCAGTGTCAACAACAAATTGATAAAAATTATTTTATTTTGGTCCTTTCTTTGTCTGGCTTTCAATCAAGTCAGCTATTTGTCTGAGTGATGGCTAAACTATTTCGTCACTGTGGACAGTCGCATGACACATCCAACAGTGAGACACTGTTATTAATTTTTTTTCTGTGATACGCGATAAACAAAGATTAGCAGCTGTTTACCATACGTAGATACAAGCTGCTTATAATGGGTTAAATATTTAGTTATGTAACAAAGTTAGTCATAAACAATATTGGTTTTTTATAAGCTAATAAAATGAATATACCTCCAGTATTTCTTCCCAGAAGTCCATGGTCATAAAATTGCCCTATAAAAGTTTAGTTCATAAGCTACAGAGCATATTAATTTATGTAAATATAATTTTTTTTGTACGTCTTATTAGTGTGTTTTGTAGATACCTTTATAGTTTAGATTTACAATTATTGGAGGCGGTTTTTGCAAACAGTTATTTGAGTATTTACAGTAGATATTTGTAATTTAAATAGTTTCTAATTTTTCCAGCTTCTCGATTATAACAGTCGTAGGATACATAATTAGTAGACGTTATGTTAGTGTCATAATAAACATTAATTTGGTGTATAATTGGATGCCATAAGTCGACATACAATGAGGTACAAGCAGTTATCAAATCTTCAAGTTTGTGGTTTGAAATGAAGAAATTATTTCTTAAAACAAATAATATATAATATAAGAGTGGAATATGTTCGTAATGCATATAAATTATGGAGAAATATGAATATTACATAAAAAATATGAAATATATGAATATATATATTTTTTACCAACATTTTTACTAAAAATTCAAATCTTTGACTCGGACAGCGTCATTCGGTACAGATAGTCTTCCATATGTACAAATGTAGTATAGAATACTGTGTTAACAGGGAGTGATGTAATGGTATTTCAAGTTCGAATAACGATTTCCAAAGATACACGTAATATTTTTTGTTACGTCTTTACTACCTCTGGATAAGCCTGTATCAATAACTTGGTAATTCAAAATAAACAGTTATGGTCGTTCCCTTGGATGTAGATTTTACAAACATCATAAAGAACAGCACACACAAGAATAAATTAATATTTTTTTTTTTTTATCAGAATTGCACTGCACGCTGACTCAAGTCATTTGTGTTCTTATCAACACTATGTTGGTTTTAAATTCTGAGTGGATTTTACAATGATTTGTGTTTTTTAAATTTAATTTGTATTTTTGTGCCAGTCTTGACCATTTGGAGCATCAAAAGTTCTTTGATTTTCTACAGGATCAAATTTTCTGATGAAAACGTGAATTTAGCTGGCGCATTCTTATGTTCAACACCTAAAATTCTTAATAGTTTTTAAAAGCAGAGAGAACAACAAACAAAAATTAGGTAAACGTTTCAATATCCTGTATACTTATATCGATGATTATTGGTTTTTTATAAACTTTTTCGATAAACAATTTTTCAGTATTTGAAAACATTTGTAATTGTAATATAAGGAACCTAGCAAGTTGTGAATTTAAAAAAAAAAACGAGAATAAATATACAATAATTTTTTATGAACTTTTCAATTTAGAAATTAATTTAAGAGAAATGAGTAAAAGCCACTAAAATGATTAAAATATTTTGAGTTGCAAATTTATAAAGTATAATAAAAGGTTAATTCACTATTAAATTTAAGTTTAAAACACAAATTCGGTATATCTAGAGGTAAATGTTAATTGTATGTGTTGTGCGATAAACACATGGGCCAATTTGACATACTAAACAAGTACTTGAGTATTATGTAATGATTTTTTTTTATATGACTCTGAAATCAAATTCACTGAATTTATTAAAACTCACAATCATACGGTAGAAAAGTGATGACATAGAGTGAAACTCGATGTATTTATATGAACAACCCGTTGCGATAGAAGAAGAAAAATGGTATTACTTACTATAGCAATTAAGCACCTTTTCAAATTCTGAAAAAATTATTTTATTGTATAAGAATGTTAGGAATAGACAGAAAAAAGAACCATAATATTAGTTAGACATATCAGTGGCGTCGCCAGAATTTTTTACACGGCGGTGGTTTAGTTTTTGATTGAATACCATAGACCATCAAAATAATTTTTAAATTTATTTAACATTTCAGGGAGTGGCTGCATTTAACCATTGAGATATTTTATGAAATAATGGATACATCATAATTCTGGCATTTTTATTGATCCAACGATTTTTAGTAATTTTTTTTCTAGTTATGAGAAAAACTCTGAATTATTTGGGGTGACCGTTTTACCATAGTCTCAACTTTGATTATGGTCATAGTCCATAACACGGTCTTAGAATATATCTAAAGAGTGGATCTTAATATTTTAAAGTTTTTATATCATCTCGTATTGTTTTCTGAAAAGATATGATGAACTTATTGATCTTATCAATCAAACAATTATTGACTATTAACAAGTACCTATTCTATTAATAATTGATGAAAAATTAAATTTCTTACACCTTGTCAAATAATTTGCAGAATTTTTCAAAATTAGACAAATTATTAAAAATCAATAGATTAATGAAATTACAATGTTGAAACGTTAACACGTCACTTAGAGAAATTAACTCTACAAAATTATTACCTTAATTTTTTTTAATTAATTCAAAAAAATATTTTTTAACTTTTTTTACTAAAACATTAATTATGTGTAGTGCTTGTTCGTGTGTGTCTTAATAAAAACCTAGAATTAAAATATCTCCATTATTTCAGGAGATATCGCAATATGTAAATCCACAACTGACGAACTGTGTAATGGGCAACATTATATTGAATTTTATTTTAATGATTATTATTTCATTAAACTAACACTAATTCCATGAATTTGAATTTTAGTTATTTGGTTCATAAATAGGTTTCTCCACTAAAATTAAAAAGTGATTCCTGATAATATTTAATAAAAAAAAGCAATATACTCACGTGCTTTACGTTCCGCTGGTGTGAGTGCCATTGCATTTCCAATAATATAAAACATTATAAATAAAGCTAACATATTAATATGTTTTACCATCGTTGACATTACGAAACAAATAATTTGAAACAATGACGACGTTGAATGAGATAAAGTTAAAGTAATATTAAAAAAGTAGTTGAACGACGATTGTCAGAGTTCTTCTTTTATATCCAAAAGCAACAGGTGGTTACAGTGCAACTGAGTAAACCATATTGGGAAATAGAAGCAGGTAAATATATATTTGTTTTCCTTAATAATACATATAGTACTATAATAAATATGATTTTTAAATATTTGCAACGCTTGTCACTGACACATAAATACACAAGATGAGTACACTGAGTAAGTAAAGTTTCTCAGGTGCCTGAATTTCAATGGAGTCAAAAGTAGTTCAAAAAAAGTCCAAAAAAAATATATATTTTTTAAACTTTTTTTACTGATTTTAATACTATATAATACGAACACAATAACAGAAGACAACACAATATATATAATTGATGTAATTGTTTATAATTATTATAGAAATATTAAATATCTTTATTTCGGTCCATACGGGAATTTATAAAACCCAGAGTTCAAAAACTAAATAACATAGAAACTACTAGTTTGGATTTGGATTCTGAACCGTCAACATTTTCAAAAAATGATAAATAAATAATATTCAAAAAAAGGTATTCTAATTGTTTAAGATATAATAAGCAGGTTTGAGTCATCACACGAAACGTATTTAATAACTACATTATAGTATTTTTCATGTTTTAAAGCTTCAAAAAGCAATATTTAATTATTAATTCCCTAATTCAATGAAAAAAAGAGGCGGGAGCGAAGTTGGTATATCTTCGCATTAACTGCATGAATTAAAAATAATTTCAATACAACGATGACGACGTAGTCATTATCATCAAAACTAATCAACTTAAAACTTTTTGTCGGGGAAACAGTTTTATCTACTGAAGGCAAATCCGAAAATTCGAAGGATTTTTAGTCGCACAACCTGTAATAGAATTCCGCATAATTCATAGTACGTAATAAGTACACAATTGAAATATATTCTCTTTTAGCAGTATGTAATTCACTTGTTTTCCCGATTTTTTTTCCTTGCTATCGACCCAAACATATTACAGTTATAGACTTTCAGTTTTTTAATCTGTCAGCCAGAATTTACAATAAGGTTGTTTTTACGTATTCCATTCGATTTGGTCCTTCGAAGCATACACAATACGCGTTTAAAAATGTTTGAATTTTACTGTAAACAAAAATCGATTTCTATAGAATTTATATCTTTACCATTGTTAAGTATATGTACCTATCAACTGTAAAAATAAAATAGAATTTTCATTATATTTTCACGGGTTTTGTATTTTGGTATTTATTCAGTTTCGTCATTGAAGTGTTTTGAAAACGGTGCAAAACAACGATATCAAATATTATGTGCTTCGAGCAAAAGATACAACATATTTCCTCATGCAAACAAATACTTAAAAAATGCATTTAAGTCGTCGGCCAAATTAGGGGAATGCTCATAGCCTCAAATATGAGCATACGTACAATATCATTTTTAGTCGCACGAGCTGTAATAGAATTCCGCAGAATTCATAGTACGTCCTAAGTAGACAATTGTAAACTACTGGGTTTCTTAACAGTTCGATTATCAATAGGATTGTCATTATATTTTCAGGGATTTCGTATTTTTGTATATATTCTGTTTGGTGTTCACGTGATTTCAAAAAGGTGCAAAAAACCGATAATAAATAACAAATAAAACAACACCTTTTCTCGGGCAAACAAATACTTAAAAAAGTCATATAATATTAGTCGTCCGAAAAAATTTTTGTACGCTCAAATTTATACATTATCATATAATATTATTACAAATATATGTATGGATATTTGATATTTACTTCTCTCTCACTATCTCTCCCTCTAAATGTGTCCTACCTTTCTTTTTTTTTACTATCCACGAACAAAAAAGCTGCCACTCTTCGGCTACTTATTATTGCAGATGCACTGCACCGTACCCATACATAATTTGATGATTTTGTCTGCATACTATAAAATAATATTAGGAAAAACTAGGCCAAAAAATTAATTAATATTGACATCGCAATATATATGTCTAAAACATATATTCTGTTCTCGGCGTTTATGTTCAGCAGTTGAAATAAAACAGTTGGATCAAGTGCAACTGAGTAAACCGTATGGGCAAATAGTAATAGGTAAATAATGTTTTGTTTCTTTAAAAATACGCACAGTAAAGTGTTGAGGAAAAATCCCAAATAGTTTATGTTGCGAAGAAAACCTTTAATACTTCATTACGAAAAACACTTTTTTGGCTTTTCGATCCCAATTTTGTCTCGAATCCTTGCATTACACTCATAATAAATGTTCTCTAACTTAAGCTATCGCTAAATCAAAAGTTTCAAAAATCATTTGGGCTTTCATCCGTTATTTGTTAAGTCTGTAAATCTACGAAAGTTGTTTGTATGATAAGAGATGAATAACTGATTGTTGTGCTGCTATGTTATTTCTCCGAATGTTTATGTCACGTTCAAATTTAGGAGTTTACAAGAGATGTTTCATATATATTGTAATAATTATGACTCCTGCATTGGTATAACGCTTGTCACTGACGCCGAAATAAACGATAAGAGTGCAATCGGTTAATTATGTCTCCAGGTGAATATATTACATTGTCGCATGTTCATATGAGCCTAACACGGAAAAGATTAGCACAAACGAACTTCTACTCTAAAAATTTAAAGATTTCATTATCTGGCACCAACCTATACCTTAACCTGGAAACTTAAAAAATTATAAAGATGTGCTTAAGTAAAATGGAATTCTAGATGAAAATAATTACCTACATACAAGATACGTCAATATTTTCAAAAAATGATATAACACTCGAAAAAGGGTATTCTAATTGTTTAAGATATAATAAGCAGGTTTGAGTCATCCCATGAAACTTATTTAATAACTAGGTACATAATAGTATTTTTAATGTTTTAAAGCTTCAAAAAACTAGTACCTATTTAATAAATAATTTCATTATTCAAGGAAATAAATAGGAGGCAGCGAAGTTAGTGTATCATCCTATTTACTGCATGAATTAAAAATAATTTCAATACAACGATGACGACGTAGTCATTATCATCAAAACTAATCAACTTAAAACTTTTTGTCGGGGAAACAGTTTTATCTACTGAAGGCAAATCCGAAAATTCGAAGGATTTTTAGTCGCACAACCTGTAATAGAATTCCGCATAATTCATAGTACGTAATAAGTACACAATTGAAATATATTCTCTTTTAGCAGTATGTAATTCACTTGTTTTCCCGATTTTTTTTCCTTGCTATCGACCCAAACATATTACAGTTATAGACTTTCAGTTTTTTAATCTGTCAGCCAGAATTTACAATAAGGTTGTTTTTACGTATTCCATTCGATTTGGTCCTTCGAAGCATACACAATACGCGTTTAAAAATGTTTGAATTTTACTGTAAACAAAAATCGATTTCTATAGAATTTATATCTTTACCATTGTTAAGTATATGTACCTATCAACTGTAAAAATAAAATAGAATTTTCATTATATTTTCACGGGTTTTGTATTTTGGTATTTATTCAGTTTCGTCATTGAAGTGTTTTGAAAACGGTGCAAAACAACGATATCAAATATTATGTGCTTCGAGCAAAAGATACAACATATTTCCTCATGCAAACAAATACTTAAAAAATGCATTTAAGTCGTCGGCCAAATTAGGGGAATGCTCATAGCCTCAAATATGAGCATACGTACAATATCATTTTTAGTCGCACGAGCTGTAATAGAATTCCGCAGAATTCATAGTACGTCCTAAGTAGTCAATTGTAAACTACTGGGTTTCTTAACAGTTCGATTATCAATAGGATTGTCATTATATTTTCAGGGATTTCGTATTTTTGTATATATTCTGTTTGGTGTTCACGTGATTTCAAAAAGGTGCAAAAAACCGATAATAAATAACAAATAAAACAACACCTTTTCTCGGGCAAACAAATACTTAAAAAAGTCATATAATATTAGTCGTCCGAAAAAATTTTTGTACGCTCAAATTTATACATTATCATATAATATTATTACAAATATATGTATGGATATTTGATATTTACTTCTCTCTCACTATCTCTCCCTCTAAATGTGTCCTACCTTTCTTTTTTTTTACTATCCACGAACAAAAAAGCTGCCACTCTTCGGCTACTTATTATTGCAGATGCACTGCACCGTACCCATACATAATTTGATGATTTTGTCTGCATACTATAAAATAATATTAGGAAAAACTAGGCCAAAAAATTAATTAATATTGACATCGCAATATATATGTCTAAAACATATATTCTCCTCTCGGCGTTTATGTTCAGGTGAATTTATTACATTGTTGCATGTTCTTATGAGCCTAACATGGAAAAATTAGCACAAACGAACTTCTAGGCTAATAATCTTGTAATTGAAGCCTTTATTCAAATAGAAAAAAAAAATAGTGTGTAATGCATGAAAAATAATTTTTCTATCCTGAAACTGAAAACGCTTCTGTGGGTACGGTATATATGTTTAAAATGTACGTCGATATCAGTGCTTTATTATATTATTGTATATAAAATTCTGGAAGATGGCGTGTTTAACTGAACACTCCCCGACAGGTATTTATTTTCCAATAGAAAAATATCGATTCTCAGTATATAAACAATCGATAATTTATAATTTAAATAATTAAAATTAAAGTTTATAATTTAATAATGTCATATTTTGACTAGCTTTGCTAAAGAGCTTTGTTTATATTTAAATTTGAATCATCTATCCGGACCGGATATACAAAATAATGTTTGTGTCATATGTTGCGAATTTTTGTTGAGGTCCTGTCAGATATATACCATTAATGAAGTGGTGTCATCCTCAAATTACCAGTGGACCATAAGTCAGAAGTAAGGAGACAAAATGCAATCATCAACCCTTTTTACACATTTTAATACTAAATCCAAAATAAGCGAAATTAATCAATTCAATTATGTTTACATTTCTATTGATTATAATTATGGTTTAAACACAAGCTAAAATGTAAAGTTACTCTGAACCTTCTAAACGTCTAACTTAAAGAGTTAAATTGTATTCCTTATTCCGCTATTCAGTAGTTCCCTGTTGAATTCCATTATTTTATTGTGACGTTAAGTTTATTTTATTGCTAAGATATATTGGTGCCGCCCGAAATGCAACAACATAATTACCAATATTTTAAGGCCTCTTACAACCATCGACTCACAAACACAATACATTATTTGTTTTTACCAGTATTATGTATATTATTATTATTATTTTTACTCTCGTATAATCGTCAGCTGCGAATTATAATATAATATAATATGCAGATTACGAAGCGCGCTATCGCATGCAGCTGCGTAATTATTATAAGACTCGGCCGCCTCAATCCAGTCAGTTCGCACACCGCTGTCATCAATACGCAAAATTTGTCATTGAGTGTGCCGGTCGCCGTATTTATATTATTATATTGTTTTATAAGTTCAGGCGCGAAAAGCCAATATTGAAATAGTCTTATGTAAGTCGCAAATCGCCTAGTATATTATAATTACTGAAACCGCTTTTTTATTTTCGTGCGCGAACCGTCATTCCTTTATTATTTGCAAAAGGCGCAAATCACCAATTTAATATTATATTGTTTTAATTTCACAGGCGCGATTAACGCCATGAATTAGCTGTAGGTTGTGGTGCTTTAGGGTTTTTTTTAGGAACTGTAGGGTTTTCGGAACTGTAGGTTTATGGAACACGTGTGTGGTTGTTTGGCAGAAATTTTAGTGGGCAACCGTAAGTTTCTGCCATGCCCGGTCGGGTGATGGCGGCCTCTCTCTCCGGACACCGTGACTGCCCGGAGAAAAGTGCCGCCCGTGACCGAGGTTCGAACCGGCGACGGTGCGCGTTGCAACCGACGCGTTATCCACTCGGTCACTCCGTCCCCCATTGATAATATTTGTTACAGACGCTAATCACCAATTTTTATTATTTGTTATGGTTAAATTGTGTGTGTCATTTATAAAGGTTAGGTAGCTGCTGGCCTGCGCAGCTCCGTCATAATTGTGAGTTTTATTTTACATACATATTTATTATTATATTACAGCTCAAATAGCTAATTATTATCATATTATTTGACCATTTTTATATAATTCTTAGCGGCTCAAATAGTTTGTTATAAAATATTATTATTTTGTTTTTACCTATTGGCTATAGAATTATTTATTGTGTATTATTTTAAAACAAATTATTATATCATATTGATATCATTAAATTTGTGTTGACATTATTTGAATATTTAAACACACACATACACACCAACACACCTACTCACGACACACTACCAAGCACTCAGTGTATTTGCTCCGCGATCCCGTCCACTATTCTTGAGTTGCTACACACATATTATACGTAATACATATCGGTCGGTGTGTGAGTGTTCTTGCATGCGAAGTATTTCGGTACCGAGTACACGAACTATTGTTTCGTTCTCGGTCCAAAGATATAGATTAAAAATGAAAATGAAAATAATTATAATCTGAAGTATACAATGTATTAATGAACAAATAATAACAATTTTTTTTTTTTTGATAAAGAAGAAAGTCTTACATAATATGATACTCAAATAGTTGAAATTAAATTGTACATTCAATATCTATCATAAATAGAAATATATTTTTGATGGATTCTTCTTCAGGGGGGCTCAGTGACTCTTGAAGGTGTTCAGGTAAATTGTATTATTGCCATGCCTATTGTTTGTCTGTACAAGCGGTAATGATGTAATTGTTTAGGTTCGATATCACCATATAAGACATTTTGTTTTGGGTCTTTTTTCATCGGATGGTCACATGTGTGACATATGACATGTGATGGTGCATAATCTATTCTGAGGCGATTCAATACTCTTTCGTCTTTTCATTTGGGAAACAATATATTAATTACTTATAAAAATAGTTATTCATAATAATTGTAGAATTGTACATTCACAGAATATAGTATATGATTATATTATATACAGAAACGTTATAGGGGTATTCTCGTAACTGATGAAAGAAAAATGCAACTATTCATAACAAAACTGAGGGAAACGTGTTAATTTTTATGTTTATATTTGATAACCGATATGTTCCAATATGTCTCTATTGATGACGTAAATCAAAAAGCTCGCAGTACTTTAAATCACATGAGCTGTAATAGAATTATGGATAATGCATAATGCATCCCCAGTATATACAATGGAGATATATTCTTGCAAAATGGTAACTTTTATCTCTATCATTTACATACAAGAGGAGGTTGCAATAGCTTAGTTATGTATCTGAGGAGCTCTCATTCAATTTATAAAATAATTGCGTTTGATTATGTCATGGTAAATTTATACCAACAATCATAAAATCCAAATGTCTGTTGGGCGTTGTTGCAAGACCAATAATATCTAATTTGAGCTACTTCTTAAATTCATGAGATTTTTGGAAATAACTACAATAAATATCGTATCTGATAATATGCAGACTATGACCAAATACCTTTTTAAATGTAAATGATAATTCTCGTTTTAATTAACCTGTATGTTGGCCTACTCAATTACCCTTTCTACTTTTTTATTCAATTTTATGATCAATACTGCTGTCTTGTAGAACACGTGAACTGCAAATATACAATAATGCGTAATATGTATTTTTCAGGGCTATTAAGTCTGTACCTCGAGACATAATATAACATCGTCTAAAATATTTACTTAAAATCATTCTCATTCAAACAAAAAAAAAAAAAATGAAAAATACACAATAATATTACATTAATCATTAATATAATTTCATTTAGATATGTAATTCTTGTACAGTAATGTTATATAATAGTATTTTTTTTTAATTTATGTATCCCGACAATTTAATTGAATTAGTATTGAGATGGAGTTTTAAATACAAACAAAATGAATATTGATTTAATACAATTTTTTATTAATTAATTAGATATATGATATTATAGCAAAAATTAATAGTTTAATCATAAGTATCAACTTACCACTTAATATTAGTTGCTTGCATAATTGGTATAGTGTTTAATAAGAAAAGCCACCATAATCTTGTGCAAACATAAACAATTAATTACTGTGATCTGTACATTTATGATAGCAATAAACAAAATTCTTACTTGTTTCCAAAGGTTCATTTCTGCTGTATCGATCACAGAATTTTGATGCCTTTGTATAATAATCTGTAAAAAAGTACATCAATAACAGTCATTTAATTAGAAAAAGTGTTTTAATCGAATGCCTTCAATAACACTTATTCATTCACTATATTTTTAGAGTATATGTTTATAATATAAAAATCAATTCTAGAAAATGAATTAAATTTATGTTTTGTAATTAGTTTAAGAATTCCTTACCTAGTATACCGAGTGGCAAATACATGTTAATGAACTTTTCAATTGGAACTAAAATTATTTGAATTAATAGTTCAAATACGTGTTTAACATTACTTTATAAATGATACATTTTATTTATTATACGTTCATTAAACAAAAATAAACATGAACAATTTTTAATATGTAATTGATAGAAAAATAATGTTATAAATAAGTATAAATTTTAATTATAGATCATTGACAATAACATACATGGAAATGGTCTTCCTTGTCCGATATGCCTCTCTATTGTAAAGATATAGAATATCACATATTAAAAACCGTGGCAAGGACTTATAAAATAGACTTCTAAAAGCACATATTATTATAAAATAGCATATAGATGTACAATACAATCACAGAAAATAGTGTGGAAGTATTTGAGTTTATTGTAATATTATTATAATTGTACATATAGCAAAGAATTGTATCATCCAGAAGCACAGTTTATTGTAGGTGTACATTATAAAATATGAGGTAAAAATAAAACTACAGATAACTCGTAATGTATACTTACTATATTGCCTCATCATCGCATAAAAGTTAGGCACTTGCTCTATATCGTTATCTATAAACATTTTTCATAAAACTTAGTTTGCAACTGTTTTTCTATTTTAATATAATCACTTGTGTAGGAACGCAATACCAACATACAAATATATAATATTATTTAAATTTAAAATTATCTCAATTTTAAATAACTTATCAATATTCAAATCAAACTCAATGCATAATATGTCAAAATAACAATGGCCACCAAATGTCTCAAAAATATGATGAATAATATTCTGGCCTTATATAAACATAATATGATTAGGATATAAGACATTAGCCACGAAACTCAACATTGACTTTTTCACAACCGCATATAATTTCGGTAAACAAATATTTTTTTTAAATAAATTTTGTATATAATACTTTTTTAAAGATGTAATTTCTTTTACCTACACCCTTTTTAATTCTATAATTAACAGTACTTATGATTGTTATTTTTCTAAGAAATACAATAATAATACAATTTGTTTTATATTATGTCATGGTGAGTTAGCATTCTTTCCCCAGAAGCTGAGTTATAATTATATACATTGTATAAAGTTATCTTCGAAGTGTTGAATAAAATAATATAATATTTCTATTATAAATTTACTCTGTGATGGCCGATTATCATCGATACATATTTGCCTATATAAGTAATGCATATCTATATTTGTATTCTCTAAGGTAATATATTTAGTCATAAAAAGCAAAGTATTCATTACATAAACTTTAAATAAAAACCTATGAATCATTAGAAGTGTATACTTACAGAATTTTGATTTAAATATTCGGTAATCCTCATCAGATGCATAAGCTTCATCTATAAACAAATGAATTTTATTATAAGTTAATCTCAGTTTGTTACTGTTTTTATATATTAATATCAATATAAAATTTACTACACATACTTCGGTCCATAATAACAATATACAAATATATAATAATAAATGTCACCTATTTAATCCCGTAAAAATTACATTCGAGAATATAAACTGATGGCCGATCTAATAATAGTAAGTATTTTAAAGAGATAGATAATATGTAACAGAACAACAGGACGGAATGTGAACAGCTTGACGTGGAATATATAATATTGTTATGATTGTGCGAAATATTTTATTGATAATAATAATAATAATTGGGATTGATGCACTGAATATCTGTATTGTTTAAATCTTAGTACGTGGAAAGACCCGACTCTACGACATTAAATTTTTATATGCATTACATAAGCGCCAACTTTCCAGAACTTCCATACTAAACTTCTATTATTTTATTGAGACTTCCGAACACTTTTGAACTTCAAGCGTTTCTAATTCATAAGTGTTTATAATTATAATTCTATTAAAAAATACTCATTAATACGATTATCAAAAACTGTGTTCATGTATTTCACGTACCATACCCAGATTATTTAAGATAACACGCATCAAAAATATTCAAATGTTATAATAATTTATACATTGTGATAGCCGATATTTATGAACTTACATTAGTACATTAATATCATTAATACATATTTGATTATATGGCTAGAGCGTATATGATTAACTGATTATAATATATTATCTATATATAAGAACAGATTACATTATAAAATGTTTAAATATTTTTTACTTTAAGTAATTTGTAATGTTCGCTTATTCTTACTGATTTCGTTCATTACAGTTTCCATATTCACATCAAACTCTTCGGTAAGTACTCGATCTATAAAAATATAAATTTCACTACACATAAATATCGGGTTATTATTGTTTTTATATCCCAATCCAATCAATTACACATACTTGTGTAACGTAATTACAGCATACAAATAAATGCGTAGATATGCTTTCTAAGAGTTTCCTAGATGTTCTATACTTAGAATACTAATAAATAGTCGGTCAGAAAATGAAAAAATTATTTATGGATCATAACTCAATAGAATCCAAGTGTGAGATATACATAGTTAGTCTACAATTTCTACAAAAATAAGTTAAAATTATTGTTGTAACTTTTTACAGTCTACTTAAATCGGAAATACATACAATACAGCATATTATCAAAAATGCAATGAACAGTTCACTTGAAAAATTAACTAAAAATATTATCATACTCATCGGGAAACGGAGACTCAAACATATTACCCGAGTACTGAAGATTCAAAAATCGATTACAAAATCGAGATAATACAATGAATCAATTCTGTACAAGTCAGTTTCATTTCTAAGCTAAAACTAATAAATTGTATTAACAACGGTGGCCTAATATCAGCTATATGGCAATAAATAAAGAAATTCATGATAAACTAAAAGTATTATATTATACCTTTGCATATTATTCCCATAGTAACACATAGCCATTTCAAAAGAGTAGATATTTAACTTAACTACAATCAGTAATATAAAATGATCGTAATTCTCGTAATATTATTACAACAGTGTAGGTTATCGGTGAAGTGTTAATGTCCATTTGGCGAATCCGAACTTACAGTTTGTGTCGTGAAATATGTAGATAAAAAATTACTTATATCAATGTTAATTTATTGTGAGTTAGTTGAATCTCTTCTTATCATTATTACATATAAATAACACAATATTAATTAATTATAAATAACTAGTGGGTTATGAATATTTACAGAATCTCTCCAATAAAGCATCAAAGCTTTCTCGTCTACCAATTGAAAGCCCGAGCTCTACAAAATGATAACAAAAATCATACATTAATAAATTTCAGTTTGTTACTGTTTTTTTATTTCAATCTAATCATGTACACATGCAATAAGTATACTTACTGACAACATACATTTGTAGAATACAAGTTCATAATTCAATCATTCAATTAGTCTGATGCAATGAAATATGATGGATCATAAATCGATAGCCTCTGTGTGTGATATAAACACAGTCAGTGGCAACAACAAATTGATTAAAGTTATTTTATTTTGGGCCTTGTCTTTGTGTAGCTTTCAACCAAGTCAGCTAATTGTCGGAGTGATGGCTACACTATTTCGTCACGGTGGACAGTCTCATGACACATTCAACAGTGAGAGACTGTTATTATTTTTTTTTTTGTGATATGCGATAAACAAAGATTAGCAGCTGTGTTCCATACGTAGATACAAGCTGCTTATAATGGGTTAAATATTTAATTATGTAACAAAGTTAGTCATAAACAATTATTGGTTTTTTATAAGCTAATAAAATGTATATACCTCCAGTATTTCTCATCAGAAGTCCATAGTTATAAAATTGCCCTATAAAAGTTTAGTTCATAAACAACAGCGCTTATTAGTTATTAATATAAGTAAATATAATTTTTTTGTACGTCTTTTTAGTGTGTTTTATTACCCGGTTTGTTCAACTCAAGGAATGACTCAAACAGTTATTTGAGCGTAATTACAGTAGATATTTGTAATTTAAATGGTTGCTAATTTTTCCAGCTTACCGATTATAATAGTCATAGGATACATAATTAGTAGACGTTATGTTAGTGTTATCCTAAATATTATTTCGGTATATAAATGGATGTCATAACTCATAAGTCATACTATGAGGTATAAGCAGACATCAAATCATCAAGTTTATGGTTTGAAATAAAGAAATTATTTCTTATAACAAATAATATAAGAGTTTAATATGTTCGTAATGTACATAAATTATGAAGAAATATGAAGTATTTTACATATTTTTTACAAACATTTTTACTAAAAATACAAATCTTTGACTCGGACAGCGTCATTCAGTACAGATAATATTCTATATGTATAAATGTAGAATAGTTTACTGTGTTGACAGTTAGTGATGTAAAGGTGTTCAAAGGTCGGACAACGATTTCCAAGGATACACATACTATTTGATGTTACACTTATTCTACCCCCGAAAAGGCCTCTATCGACAACTTGGAAATTTAAAATGAACTGTATGGTTGTTCCTCTCCATCAAAATTTTCATAACGTTACGTCGTTACACAGAACAGCACTCATAAGTATAAATTAGGTCAACCTAAAAAACAGTCTATTACTACTTTCATGTTCACTGATGTGAATGATTTACTAATCTGAACATACTAAATTTAGTTACAAATATTTATAATCATAAGTTGACTATGAATTCAAAATATATGTGTGTGTCAATCTCATTGTGACTGTTGTTTATTAATTGTATTATTAGTTACTGTATCTATAATAAATCCTGACTATTTACTTAAGAAACATCTTTAAATTAAATTGTATCTGTGTAATTTTCTTGTCATCAATTCATGTTTATTAGATATTGTTGAGTATGTTATTACTTTGTATTCATACACAACACATAGCAGTAATTTTATGATCTTGACAACCGGAACGAATACATTTAATGAGCGAGGCCCACATCAATACGGGCTGAAATACCCGTCGACGGTGAGGTTTTAAGGCGCCAGAACGACCACGTGATAACCAACCTGAAAACTCGCAAAGTTCAATGGAATTGGTTTGAATGTGAGTGAATTGATCACTGCGAGCTTCTTCCGTATTTTTAATGACTACTATGTTCAAAATAAGAGAGACAGTAGTCGGGAACCAGTTTTTGTCTCCGACGTTCAGGCAACACCTGTTTGTCACCCACACTGTGTCACAAGTCTTTACACATGCCATGTAATATCGCCACGCCCCAGCACATATTGGAAAGGCTACCTATATAGTATTTGTACTAAAAAAAAAACTTCAAAACATTATTATTACTCACTAAATCATTTCAGTTTTAAACTATTTGGTTTCTGAATTATTTTTATAAATTATTTATTTATAGGTAATAGGTATGCAAATAATGTCAACATATTTCGAGGTATATATATTTATAAAGTATAATAATATGTTAATTCACACTTATATTATTTAAGTTTAAAACATAAATTCGGTATTTCTGGATTCAAATGTAACTAATGTATTTGTATGCAATAGACACATGGGTATGACATCCTCCGAAGTATAACCTTTTAAATGGATATACTGAACAAGTACTTGAGCATTATGTAACAAATTATTTTTTATACAACTCTAAAATCGAATTCACTGACTTAATTAAAACTCCCAATCTTACGGTAGGAAAGTGATCACATTGAGTCAACCTCGATGTATTTATATGAACAATGCTTTGTGGTAGGAGACTGGAGAAGTAAAATCATATACTTATCATACTCATCATACTTACTATAGCATCTAAGCACACATTGAAATTCTGAAAAATTTAATTGGTAATATTCTTATAATAAATATAGAATGAAAAAATAACCATGATATTGGTTAGAAATATATATGATGTCCTCGGAGGATTTAAAAATCGCGATATCTTCCGAAATATGGATGTATCATAATTCTGGTATTTTCATTAATCTACTGATTTTTAATAATTTTCCAGTTTTGAGAAAAACTGTAAATTATTTGAGATGTCCGTTTTATAGTAGTCGTATATTTGATTATAGTCATAGTTTCTAACTACAATGTCATCTTCATGGTCCGTAATATTTAAAGGTTTTTACATAATCTTGTATTGTTTTTTGATAAGATATGAAGAAATTATTGCTCTTATTAGTCAAAAATGTATTGTCTAATAACAATAATTCTTTTGATAATTGATTAAAAATTACAAAGAATATAACCACTATAATAGTATGACCTTGTCAAATTAATCGCAGTTTTTCTCGACACCAGAAAAATTATTAAAAATCAGGATATAAATAAAAATAAAATTTTGAAAGTAAAATTTTAGAAAAATGAAATGTAAAAAATAAAAATCTTAATTTTTTTTTTTTAAATAATTAATTAAAAAATATTTTTTTAAACCTTTTACCAAAACATTAAAAAAAATTAAAACATGAATTATTTGTTGTGTCTTTCACTCTGAGTCTAATTAAAACCCTGAATTATAATATCTCCGTTATTTCAGAATATATCGCAATGGGTAAATCTTCAAGTGAAGAACTGTATAATATTCTAATGAATCCAATTATATTGAATGGAATTTATTCATTACTATTTCATTAAAATAACACTAATTCTATAAATTTGAATTGTAATTATTTGTTTCATAAATAGGTTTTTCCACTAATATTAAAAAGTGATTCCTGATAATATTTAATAAAAAAAAGCAATATACTCACGTGCTTTACGTTCCGCTGGCGTAAGTGCCATTGCATTTCCAATAATATAAAACATAATACATATAGCTAGCATAATAATATGTCTTACCATACTTGAAATTACGAACAAAAAAATTAGAAATAATGACGACGTTAAATGATGTAAAGTTAAAGTAATATTAAACGTAGTTCAACGACGATTTTCAGCGTTCTTCTGCAAAACGAAAAAAAACAGGAGGGTACAGTGCAACTGAGTAAACAATAGGGGAAATAGAAGTAGGTAAATAGTGTTTTTTTTTAAATTACATATTATATTACAATAACAGTTATGATTCTTGTATATTTGTAGACTAACCGTCAGGTCTCTTATGTGTCTCCATCACAATATAGGTATTACGTAATTGAATATGCTTAAGTCATGGTGAACCAAAAAAGAGAATCATCAAATCCCAATGATTGTCTCTTGTTGTGTATAGATTAATAAATCTGTGGTAATATAAAATTGATTATTCAAAATTACAGAAAAATAAATCAAAAAATATAAGATGTTTAAAAAAATGTCCATAGGCAATAAGTATTTTTTTTACAAATTTAACACCATTTGAAAAATAAACACAATAACTTAAGACAACAAAATTTATAACTGACTCTATTGATTATAATTATTATAAAAATATTAAATATCTTTATTGTGGGCTATACTGAAAGGGAGAGCCTAACGTTATTGTTACAACTGTAATAATCGGTGTAGTCATTTTTTAAAAATGTAGTTTTTGAAAATATTGATGTACTCAATTCAAAATTCAAAATAGTAGTTACTCAGTTATCTCCGAAACTTAAGTCTAATAATAAAAGTTTTTAAAAACGGCTTTACATACATATATAACAAATAGTAGAGTTAATTACACTTGGACTGTTTTTAAAAATTATTAAAATTGAACAATTAATAATTAACACCAACATCTTGTAAATTACCATTAACTTCTAACTGTCCGAACCTATTATCTTGAATTTATGAGACTATCATAGTTCCCAAAGTTAAATATCTTAGAAATTACTTCTTAAGATTTTGATAAATATACGTCGACATTTTCAAAAAATGATCTGGTAAATACGTTGCAGTCCAAAAGGAGCGTTCCTGTTTTTTAAGGAAACAGGCAGGTTTGAGTCATCACACGAAAATTATTTAATAACTACATAAGTATTCTTGGATTTAAAAAAAAAAAATTTTTAAATATTCAAAAAAGCAGTACTTATTTGAATAATTCCATTATTGATGGAAAAAAATGGGAAGAGCTAGGTTGGTGTATCAAAATATTAACTGTATGAATTACAAATATTTTTTAATTTAACGATGACGACGTAGTCATTATCATCAAAACTGATCAACTTAAAACATTTTGTTGGGGAAGCAGTTTTATCTACTGGAGGCAAATCTGACAATTTGAAGAATTTTTAGTCGCACGAGCTGTAATAGAATTCCCTTTTAGCAGTTTGTATTTCACTTGTTTTCCCGATTTTTTTTCCCGACTATTGACCCAAATATATTACAGTTATAGTTTTTTAGTCCGTCAGCTAGAAATTACAATAATGTTTTATTTACGTATTCCATTAGGTTTGGTTCTTCGAAGCATTCATAATACACGCTTAAAAATTTTAGCATTTTACTGTTAACAAAAATCGAACATTTCTATAGTGTTTCTTAACAGTTCGAATATCCTTATCGAGTATATGTAGCTATTACCTGTTCAAGTAAAATAGGATTGTCATTATATTTTCACGGATTTCGTATTTTTGTATTTATTCTGTTTGGTTGTTCACGTGATTTCAAAACGGTGCAAAAAAAAAAACGATAATAAATATGAATACATGTTCTTCGAACAAAAGATACAACACCTTTTCTCGGGCAAACAAATACTTAAAAAAGTCATATAATACCAGTCGCAGAAAAATTAAGCGTATGCTCAAATATATATATATTATTACAATAATATGTATCGTTATTTTATATTTACTTCTCTCTCTCTCTATCTCTCTCTAACTGTGTCTCCGCCTTTCTTTTTTTCACTATTCACGAACAAAAAAGCTTTTTTTTTGCAGCATCTCTTCTGCTGCTTAATATTTCATACGCACCGTACCCATATATTTTTTGTATATTTTGTCTGCATGTTACGAAACAATACTAGGAAAAACTAGGCCAAAAAATAAATTAATATTTACATGGCAACAAATACGTATACGACATATTTTTATCACACATTTCGGTCCGACCACACTTAGGGACTAGCGACTCTCGGCGTTTGTGTTCGGCAGCCGAAACAAAACAGTTGGATCAAGTGCAACTAAGTAAACCATATAGGGAAATAGAAATATTTAAATAATGTTTTGTTAATTTTAAAAATTACGAAAAACACTTTTCGCCGTTTCAATCCTAAGTTTATCTTGAATCCTTGAATTAACTGATAAAAGATGTTTTGTAACTTGAGATGTCGCTAAATCAAATGTTTCAAAAATCATTTGGGTTTTCACCTAGTAATTTGTTACGTCTGTAAATCTGCGAATGTTGTTCGTATGATAAGTGATGAATAGCTGATGTTTGTAGTGTTAAGTTATCTCTTTGAACGTTTATGTCATGTACAAATTATAAAGCTGTAATAGTGAATTTGTTCTGACACTGTAATAATTTATTAGTTTACGATAGAGGTTTCAAATATATTTTAATAATTATGATTTCTGCATACGCGTAACATTAGTGACAAATAAATAAACCATAATATAGTGCAATCGGTTAGTTGTATCTCTAGGTGGACTCTTATAATTTTATTACATTATCGCATGTGCTTATTAGCCTATTTTTTAAAACAATAGCACAAATGAATGGCCAACACTCAAAATTTAAAGTTTTTATTGTTCGGCACCAACCTGTACACCTACATTTTGGTAGAAAACCACCTGTTTGAAATTAATGAACCTACAGATAGGTTTTTGAGATCATTTCAACTGATAAAGAGAGTGGAATATTGTTTTACACTGTTTTAACATTATTCGCACAACTTACAATAAACTATTTGGTACATATTATATCCATATGGTCTATTCTGTACATAGTTTATAAACAATAGGTACCTCATTATGGTACACGGCTCATATTTGATCTAAATAGCATAGACATGTCAAACTATAAACATCGTCTATACGTTAGAGTAGGTACATAAATTAATTAGGTATGTAATGATTTTTGCTTTTTTCAATATGCTTGAAAATTAAAAATTCAGATTCATACATCAACTATTGATTTCATAATAATTAATATATTAATGAAAAATGCAGATTTTGGGTACTGTCTCACTTGACAAAAAACCAATGATTTGAATCAAATCACGTGTCCCGTGGAATGCACGTGCACGTGTCATTAAAATAATATAATATTTGTTACGCATCATGTTATACATTGAAGTAAACTTTTAGAATCATCAAAACATATAAATTCCAGACTACAGGTAATTATTATTTTACTATATTTCAGTTCAATTACACTTTAATAAATATCGGTCTGCACAGGGCTGTCAGTCTGAAACTGTTCAACAAGATTGTAATAATTAATCCAGCAAATATGAAAAACATAACCATTGTATTTTTGTATATAGTGGAATATTATGTTATTCGAAATATAGGTACACCTATAATATTATGCAATGCATGAAAAATCCTAAATTTTTTTATCACAAAACTCAAAACGCTTCTGTAGGTAAGGTAAGTCTGTTTGAAATGAACGTAATAAGTATCAGTGCCATAATATATTATTGTGTATTCAATTCTGACGGATGATGTGTTTAACCGAACACTCCTCGACGGGCTTTATATTTTCAAGAGAAAAATATCGGCCCTCGGCAAATAAACAATCGATAATTCATAATTTAAATGATTTAAATTACAATTTATAATTTAATAATGTTCATGTTATATGTCACAAAATAATGTTTGTGTCATATGTTGCGAATATTTGTTGAGTTCCTGTCAGATATAGGTATACCTCATACTCAAATTATCAGTAGCCCATAAGTCAAAAGTTAGCAGACAACATGCTTTTTTCAACTCTTTTTTACTTATTTGAATACTAAATCCAAAATAAACAAAATTAATCAATGAAATTATGTTTACATTTTATTTATTCTTTTGAACATAATTATAATTTCACAAGTTAAAAAGTAAAGTTAATCTGAACTTTCTTAACTTCTTACTGAACGAGTTGAATTGTATTCATTTTTCAGTTATTCAGTAACTTATGAATTAATTAATATTATTGTGACTTTAATTTTTTTTTGTATTTTTAAACCACAGATTAAAAATAATAATAAAATAATAATAATCTGAAGTATTAAATATATTAATGGATAAATAATAATAATAATTTTTTTTTTGTTAAAAAAGAAAGACTCGAATACGTGATCATGTTCAAGTCTTACACACTATGGTACTATGGTACTTTGGGCCGTACTCGTTTCCACCAAAAGTGTACCTTTCCCTTTTCCACTAATACTCGTTTCCACCAAGACAGTGTATATATACTAAGCTTATAAGTAATATTAAAAGCTATTAAAAAGCAATAAATTAATATACATCATAATATAATTGTATATAGCTAATACCTTATAATAATAATAATGTTTATAATAGTCAAAATTGTCGAAATTGTCGAATGTATAAATTTAATTTAAAAAAAAAATGGTTAAATAGTATTGTATAATAGTAAATTGTTACATAATAATAATAAGTGGATATTTTTCTTAAAAATTGTATGATATAGATTGCACAAAAAACTTACTTGTAATTTAAAACAATATTTTACGTGTGTGAAGTTAGCCCCCCAACTATGTAAGACCTTTCCAAAAATTATTGTAACCTTATTTTTTCAATTTGTAACTATTTGTAANTGAAAAAATAAGGTTACAATAATTTTTGGAAAGGTCTTACATAGTTGGGGGGCTAACTTCACACACGTCAATATTTTGTTTCAATGAATAAATTTAGTGTATTATATTGTATTAAACACAATATAGATTAAAAAAATTGGTTAATACCGGAACAGAGTTATATTATTACTAGCTGTCTCACTCTTACTTTTATCCCATATTATATATATATTGTATATATATATATATATATATATATTGTATATATATATATTATATATATATTGTATATTTGTTTTCATTAAATTTGTACATTTTTATTATGTTGTATATTAATTTTTTACATTTTAACAGCTTTTAATATAACTTATAAGCGTAGTATATAGAACTTGTCTAGATGGAATACGTGGTCAATATCTTATTTGGTGGAAACGAGTATTGATAGAAAAGGGAAAGGCACACTTTTGGGGGAAACGGGTAATGGTGGAAAAGGGAAAGTTACACTTTTGGTAGAAACATGTTACACACGGTACTTTATAATAATGGTTATTCATAATTATAATGTTGTATATTCGTAGAATATATATTATAACTATATTATAAACAGAAAAGTTATATTGGTAACAACGTCATTAATTAAAGAAAAATATAACTTTTTACATTTAGACTTTCATACACTTTTGTGTACTCATTAGTCATAACCTGATCATTGTTAAACACCCTTAGCACACGTTGGGTATATATTCACTTTTAAAAAACTCGTGTTTTCTGGTTTTCCCGAATTTTTTTATTGTTATTTATTTTTTGTTTTTTTTTGTTTCGTGTGTATAATTGCAAAGGTTGGTATGATAAGATATAAAAGTTGTGCTATCAAATTAGCTCTTAAAATGTATATATGATGTTGAAATCACACAACAGGAGTCGCAACATTTTCTTGACACCGCAATGTAGAATTTAACAAGAGAGGTTTCAAACATGTAACCATAGTAATTAAGATTCTTGCATTATGGTAACCACCATATCTATCATAATTACACGCAAGAAGGGCATAGGGCACAGTAGCTTAGTTATGTATCTTAGACACCGTCATTCAATTTATACAATTATTGCTTTTGCATATGTCATGGTAAATTTATACCAACAATCATGAAATCCCAATGTCTGTTGGGCGTTCTTGCAAGACCAATAATATATAATTTGGGCTACTCCTTAAATTTATGAGGGTTTTAAAAATAACTACAATAAATATTGTATCTGATAATATGCAGACTATGGCCAAACACCTTTTTAAATGTAAATGATAATTCTCGTTTTAATTAATCTGTTTGTTGGCCTACTCAATTACCCTTTCCGCTTTTTTATTCAACATTAGGATCAATACTGCTGTTTTGTAGAATACGTGAGCTTCATTTATACAATAATGCATAATAATATGTATTTTTCAGGGCTATTAAGTCTATACCTCGCGACATAATATAAAATCGTCTAAAATATTTACTTAGGAGAATTCTTATTAAAAAAAAAAATTTTAAAATACACAATAATATTACATTAATCATTAATATAATTTCATTTAGATATGTAATTCTTGTACAATAATGTTATATAATAGTATTATTTTTTATTTATGTATCCCGACAATTTAATCGAATTAGTATTGAGATGGAGTTTTAAATACAAACAAAATGAATATTGATTTAATACAATTTTTTATTAATTAATTAGATATATGATATTATGGCAAAAATTAATAGTTTAATCATAAGTATCTACTTACCACTTAATATTAGATGATTGCGTAATTGGTATAGTATTTAATAATTAAAACTGCGAGCCCAATCTTGTGCAAAGAAAAACAATTAATTATTGTGATCTGTGAATTTATGAGAGCAATAAAAATAATTCCTACTTGTTTCCAATGGTAGACCTTTGCTATAATGATCACAGAATTTTGAGGCCGTTTCATAATAATCTATATAAAAGTACATCAATAACAATAATTTAATTAGAAAAATGTGTTTTAATCGAATACCTACAATAACTTATAACACTGATTCGTCGACTATTCTTTTACAGGATATTGGGTATAATATTATTATAATCTATTCTACAAACTGAATTAAATTTTGTTTTGTAATAACTTTAATAATCACTTACCTAATCTACCAGGGACCAAAATATGATTGTTCACGAACTTATCAAATGGACCTAGAATTATATTTTGAATTAATAGTTCAAATATGTGTTTAACATTGGTACATTACATTACAATTGATATATTTTATATTTTCTTCATGCATTATACAAAAATAAACATGAACTATTAAGGCTTTACGATTTTGTATATGTAATTGACCACACAAATAAATAATTATATTATGAATAATTAAAAATTATAATTATAGATCACTGACAATAACTTACTTGGAAATTGTCTATTCCTAGCTCCAATATCAAACTCTAATATAAAAATATATAATATACCCTATTAAATACTGTAGCATAGACTTATAGAAGCACATATTATAAAATAGCAGATAGGGAAATAATAAAATTACAGAAAGGAGTGTGAAAGTACTGTGGTGGTTGTAATATTATTATAACGGTGTATCTATATTAATGAATTATATCATCTAGATTCTAGAAGCACAGTTTATTCTTATAGATATACATTATGAAATATGACGTAAAAATAAAACTACAGGTAACTCTGCATGTATACTTACTAAATCGACGCAATGTTATGTCAAAGTCAGGCAATTGCCTTATATCATTATCTATAAACATTTTTCATAAAACTCAGTTTGTTACCGTGTTTCTATTTTAATATACCTAATCACTTGTGTAGGAACACAATACCAACATACAAATATGTAATAATATTTAAAGTGGTAATTTATTAATTTGATGCAATGTAGTATGCATCTCAATTTTAAATAACGGATCAATATTCTAATCAAACTCTATGTATAATGACGTATAAAAAAAACTATAGAAAATAAATGTCTCAAAAATCTGATGATATTATTCAGGCCTGATATAATATGAACAGGATATAAGACATTAGATACTAGCCACCAACATCAACTTTTTTACAACCACACATAATTTCAGTAAACAAGTATTTTTACAAAGATCTAACGGCTTCTACCTACATTATTTTTCCTTCTACAATTATTAGTACATTTCATTGTTGTTTTACTAAGAAATACAACAATAATTCAATTGATTTTATATCATTTCGTGGAGAGTTAGCTCTCTTCTACCAGAAGCTGACTTATAAATATACACTTTATGTAAGATAATCTCCGAAGTCGAATTGAATAATATAATATTTTTATTATACGTTTACTATGTGATGGCCTATTATTAGCTATACATATTCGACTATATAATTAATGCATATTTATATTTGTATTATCTATTGTAATTTATTTAATCATCATAATGCACATTATTCAACACACATAATTTAAAAAAAAAACATTTGAATCATTAGAAGTTTATACTTACAGAATTGTTCTTTAAACAGTAAAAAATTTTCTTCATTGTTAAAAGAAAAATCTATAAAAGATAAATTATATTATAACTTAATCTTGGTGTGTTTCGGTGTTCATACATTAATCTATATATTAATTTATCACACATACATCCATAATTACAATATACAAATATATAATAATAAATATTCCCTATTTAATCTCGTTAAAATTACATTTGAGAATATAAACTGAAGCCTGAGCTCCTTATATTAAGTAATTTGAAAAAATAGATATGTAACAGGACAACAGAAAGGAATGTGAAAGGATTATGGAGCATAGAATATTGATATTATTGTGTATAATATTTTATTAATAATAATAATAAATATTGGGATTGAAGCTCTCAATATCTGTGTTGGATAAATTATACTACGTATTAATGACATGACTCTAAAACATAAAATTTGGTAATGCATGGCAGTTTTTGACAAAATGTAACCTTTACTTTTCGGGCACTTCATTTTCATCCAATTTAAAGGTTGATTTATAATTAATATATTTCGCTTTCAGTAATTATGTTACATTTATAAGATACATCTTATTAGTCAATCATGCTCACCTCAATTTTTTTTTTTTAACACTGCAGTTATACGTTATCTGATTTTTTAATTTTTTAAACATATCTACCTTAAGATATTCATATATTCAAATTCTTGGGATTTATTGTACTTCTTAATTAGTATTCTATGGAGATTCAAATCTCTGTTTTTCAAATAATAATCCAAATATTCAACTTTAAATTGTATAGAAGATCATTTTTCTGAAATTTTTTACGTATCAAAATCAAAAATCATACTAGTATTTTTGGGTCATTGAACTTTAAATTTTAATGATTAATATCTATAGAGATCTATTATGAGATTTTAGAGCTAAAATTATTTAAAAATTATTGTGGTCATTAATGTTTATCCTTCGATATTAAAAGTTTGTAAATGTAGCCTAAGTATCGGAAATAGAAGATCACATTTCATGTATACTTTATAATTGTGTAAGACCAGTCTTGAGGACTATTACCCTTAATAATTTAGATAGAAATTTTTATTTGCTTAACTTAATGTATATGCTTAATATAAAATTTTTTGTTTTGCTCATATAGCGTAACGCCGAAAAAAAGAAGATCACGACTAGGGTCGAAAAGCGAACAGGCTAAAAAGGTTAGAGGACGTGGGTACCATACAATTGCGTACGATGTATCTTTTTGAGAACACGATTGCGTACGTTAACACTATTGCGTACGTTAAACCATTAACTTTAATATGTACCCCAAAAGTCAAAACGATTGCATATGATTTACTGTGCAACGTTGCCAAATATATGTTTTTATTTTTGATCAGTAAAATTTAAATATTGGAATAATGACTTAAGTTATGGTACCACTTGGATCGATCTTGTACAATTTCAAATTTATCATATTAGAATTTATTTTTAGGGCCACACGCGCTATGTTTCTTAATAATAGTCGATCAATAAGTTGATTAATAAGACAATCCTCAAAGGTGAAGAATATTCTTAGTAGATCGTGAGCAAACAAAGTTTGGCCAGCCCTGTTCTATAAGTTCAAAGCAAATGGCAACAGTAAAGTTCAAAGTTGCAGATAAAAGTCGTACGCAATCGTGAACATTAAATGTTCACAATTGCGTATGTCGATAAATACCGTACGCAATAGTGTTTTACCGAGAGGACGTAAACGGCCGGGAACCGACTCGTCCTTTTGATACAGTCACAACAATTTGCCGTCTAAAAAGAAATTTGCAAATGCTTTATGCCTATATCCTGTTAGTATAGCTGTTAGTACCCACGTGTGATTGTTATATTACTAAGAGATACAGCAAGAATACAACTGATTTTACATCATTTAATTTTGAATTATGTACCTCTTGTATAATGCAGGATTATAGTAATATAATAACATGTATATAAGGCAATTCTCAAATATTTTATACTCATAAAGTGATTATAATCATTCATGAATCGAATAACGGAGACGAAATATCACAGCTTATAACTAACAGATGTGTTGTCTCAGGCAGTGATGACTGATAAGTCATAAACGGGTTGAATTAAGCTGAAGGCCTAAATGACTTAAAGTCCTGGGGCACGAGCCCCAAGGAGATTCGGTAGTCAATCTAAGGCGATCAAGTAAGCAACATGTACGTAACTGACCAGGACTCCTATACTGAAATTCCTTCATTTAAATGAGACTCCCGAACGCATTTGTACTTTCTGCACTTCTAATTCATAAATGTTTATAATTATAATTCTATCAAAAAATACTGATTAATACGATTATCAAAAATTTTGCTCATTTTTTTCACGTTACATACCCAGGTTATTTTAGAGAACACGCACCAAACATAATCAAATTTTATAATAATTCCTACATAGTGATAGCAGATATTTATGAACATACATATTTATACATATTTATTATTTATATTATGACTAGAACGTATTTGATTAACTGATAATAATATGTAAAATGTTTAAATATAACGCTATAAATAATTTGTAATGTTTACTTATTCTTACCGATTATGCTCATCACATATTCCATATCCGCATTATCACCCTTTGCGGAAATGTTTCGATCTATAAACATATAAGCTTTAGTACATATAAATCTCAGGGAATTATTGATTTTATATTGCAACCTAATCAATAACACATGCAAACAAAATACTTAAATAATTAATTTAGTCTGACAAAATGTAGTTAGACACTTGTGTGAATCCCACACGCAGTTGCTGAATGTACAAGGCTGATGGACGACAGTATTTAATAATTCAAGTCAATGTTTTCCTTATTATCATGAATATTCTTATGAACGTAGAACCGTTTGAAAAATGTTTTGTGTAACTAGTTGAATGATTTCAGGGAGACTGCTGGCTCGAAGGTGCTTGTACACACTCTGATCAACCGTGTCTGAATATCAGGTGGTCGGGTCTCTACTCTATAATCTCCAATTCTCTTCTTCTATCGACGATATAGCATTGACCCCGTTTGCCATCGCTTGTGCGCCTACAATGTGCAGTAAATGCCGTCGGCAAAAACTCTTATGGTCAAATTTCTGTAACTCGTGATGTTTCGTTATAGGCATTAAAGTGCACAGCTTCTACTTCGACAGTTGAGGCTAGATTATTAATCGATAAGTCAATGTCTTCAACTACGATTGCAGATTAATAAATAGTCAAATTTTAAAAGAAAAACTTATTTATGGAACATAACCCAAAAGAACCATTAAATAAACAATTACTTATCTCAATGTCAATTTATTGTGAGTTAGTTTAATCTCCTCTTATCATTATTACATAAAAATAACACTATATTAATTAATAATAAATAACAAGTAAGAAATGTATATTTACAGAATGCCTCCAATATAGAATCAAAGGTTTCTTCTGTACCATATGGTAAAGGTCCTAACACTATGAAAGATAAAAAAAATCATGCATAAATAAATGTTAGTTTGTTACTGTCTTTTTTATTTCAATCAAATCAAGTAAACATACAATATGTGTACTCAATAACAAAATACAATTTGTATAACACAAGTTCATTATACAATTATTCATTTAGTCGGATGCAATAAAACATAACACTACATTTTCTTAAATGGTTTCATTATCCAACCTAAATTTTTAATTCGAATAATGTAGTATATAATCACAATGAATGCCTAGTGTACAGTCACATGAAACATCCAACAGTGAGAAACTGTTATTAATTTTTTTTTTCCGAATAACAATCAATTATTTTAATACGTTAAATATTTAGTTGTGTAACAAAGTTAGTCATAAGCAATCATTGTTTTTTAATAATTTAATAAAATAAATATACCGGCTGTATTTCTTGTCATAAGTCCAAAGTTATAAAATTGCCCTATAAAAGTTTAGATCATAAACAGCATTAATTATTAATCTATACTAATATAATTGTTGTGCGTATTTTTATTTTTTATTGTGTTCTTGAAGATCCCTTGATAGTTTAAATTTATTATTATTTTACACAGTATGTTCAAATCAAGGAATGACTCATACAAGGCATTGAATATTTACGGTAGATACTTGTAATTTAAATGGTTGTTATTTTTTCCAGCATACAGTTTATAATAGTTATAGGATACATAAGTGGTAAAAGTTTCCTATGTGTCATGTCTAAGTTTTTTTTTTTTGTATGTAAATTGTTGCCATATCGGATGATAATAATAATAATAGTCCATAATCGGACAATGAGGTACATGTAGACATAAAATCGTCAAGTTTATTGTGTGAAATAAAAAAATTATTTCTTTCAATATATATATAAGATTGGAATAAGTTCGTTATTCACATTAATTATGGATAAATATGAAGAATGATACATTTTTTTTTACAAACAAATTTTTAATGCCTCTGAAGAGGCCAATATCAATAATTTAGTAATTCAAAATGAAGCGTTATGGTTGTTCCTCTCTGTGTAGATTTATAAAACGTTATATAGTACAGCAAACACAAGTATAAATTAGCTCATCCTCACCCACCAACTATTACTTCTTTCATGTCCACTTATGTGATTTAGACAGAAATTTTTCTGAATGCAACATTCTAGTCATAACTTTTACGTTCCACTAGGCATGGAAATGCCCTTTTCTAATATAATAAAAAATTTAAATTTTGTAACGAAACAAAAATACGTCCTGATAATGAATAGTCTCGTATGTGAAATACGCCGCATGCACTATACACATAAGATCCACCGCAACACCACCTGCACGCCTTCTTCTTTTTCCTTCTCTGGCTTCTGCCAAACGAACAATTTCACATATTTTTTTTATTAAGCTGTTATACTTGTGGGCAATGAAGGAGCGACAGCTGAAATCCTCCCCGGCGATGTCCGCCGAAAGACGGATGATACCCAAAAAGGATGATCAGACACCGACGGGTGTCTGATCCCTTTGACTTTATG